ACTAAAGACTGAAGAGGCTAGGGATCCCACCTGTGCAGCGTGGAAGAACTTGCATAACACAGTGCCCATGAACGTGCCAAACCACTTGTCCCACACGTAGACCCATTTGAGTATGTAGGGAATATCTATGGTCATGAGAAGATCAGCAAAGGCCATGTTGGCGATGAGAGTGTTTGTTGAGCTGCGCATGTGGTTTACTGTGAACACGATGTAAATCACCAGAGTATTACCGATCATTGCCAGGATGATAACAATGACGGCAAGGATTGTGACTCCGATCTGAATATTGCGCGGGACCTGGAATCCCTCAGGAGGCGCATCTGTGGCATTATTCGTCATGTTAGGGAGCATGGAAAGTCCTGATAATAAAAATAGTAAATATCAGAGCCTTTGCTAGTTTCTTTTAGGTAAAAGAAAATAAAACTGACTGTGGGATGTTTGAGTCTGTTCTATCTTCAGTTTGTAACGGGAAAACACTCCATCCGATATCTCTCGGTCACTAGCCTTTGTGCAGGCTCAGCGCAACTGAAAATAAGAGAGACTAGCGATTGACAAAGTTTTTCTAGAAACAGAATAAGTGATACAGATATACTGTTCCTAAGAACGACGCGTTCTTATTGTCACATGTGTACCGCCTGATACCTGATACTTTCATTATTTTCACACAGCTTATTCTTATTCTCATTTGTTTAATTTTAACATGGTTATTTATCGTCATTTTATTCTAAACATATTCTAGCTTGACTATGTACGCTCATTCTTGACCTTGGTGTATAAATAAACGAACAATTATTCTTGTCACAAGGTCTGAAAAATTTTTGTAAACGAAGCTTCGTTTACAAAAAATTTTTCAGACCATGTGACGAGAATAATTGTTCGTATATTCTAGCTTGTATATACCACTGACACTTAAATAAAGTTATTCATCTATTAATTCAGTCTTCAAATATTAAATGGGTCGCCGACAACAAGCCGTCTAAATCAAACAGAGCACTTTTTTTCTGTGGGTGATAATCTGATAAACTGTGCTAGGTTCTTTAGTGAAATATATTTATATTCTGTCTTTGCAGCTCGACTCTTCAAAGATTTGCGATCAGGGCTGCCCTTAAATTTTTATTTGCCTTTCGTCCGATGTGTATATATTGTTGTCAGGATGTTGTTTTGACTTAATTTTCGGGCCAGCGAGTTCAACAAAAAGAAAAAGCCACTTCACATTAAACGAAAAAAAATATACATATGTATTGACCTTTCTTTTGCAATTTGACTTCTTGTTTCACTTTTTCCCCTCATATCGTTCCACAATTTTGCCTTTACTCGATTAAATAGGTGAAAACCAAGAGAAGATCAAGGTACTTATCGTTGGCGAAAACGGACTAGAAGGACAAATTGTTAACCTGGATCATTGTCTTACGCGTACGCATTGGCCTCGACAGCAAAAGCCATGATTGCTTTTGCTGTCAAGGCCAATGCGTAAGACAATTAAAAGATCATTCATGTTGAATATAAAGTGTCTCATAATTATAGCCTTTGACGTTGGCAGTCTGCAAACTAATAAACTTTGATCATAGAATATGCCCGATCATCTGGCCTCGCGCCGCGTTAATTAAGTCATCGAGGACGTTCGCGCCAATTGTTTCTATGCAGCCTTACTACTCCCTCTTTCCTTTTCACATATAATTTCCTTTGATTATTTTCCCCTTTTTAACAAGAAACTGGAAAAATCTGTAAGTGGGAAGTAACAAATATTTCGCCTTTTCTGCCATGGTGAACGAAATGTGGATGGGCAGGAGTAATATTTATTCTTTTCCAACGCCTATTCGAACGGGCTGCAAAAGTTTACTTTATAGACCTAGTTATGTGGAAATGAGTTCGCCCTCCTGATCTAAACGTCACTAATGTAGCACTTCGTCTTCAATGTGCCTTATCTCGAATTAGAGGCCGGTTACCCCCTATTTTTGTTACCTTTTTGGCAAAAGTTGGTCTTTACCTTACTGCATGGCAACTTTTAAAAAACTCTTTACGTGGGAACATTTTGGGCGCCAACGTGCTTAAATTAATGTGTGCGATTGAAAGCTTTCAGTCAGGCTTTCAAAAAGAATAATAAAACGGTTTGTTTACACAAGAGGTTTAATGAAAAACGCAAGCAATTTTCTATCAGATGATAGTGACGAACTACAACAGTCTCTAGCTTTTCTCTGAGATATCAATACTAAAAGAATGCCTCAAATATTGTAGTTGAATAGAAATGTTTTATATCTATAGTTGTTAATAAAAAAAAAGGGTCTACAAAAAGTTGACATTCTGAGGGCTCTACTCCAAATGCATTTATAAGAGGCTTAATTTCTTGGGCTTGTCTCTCAAAATTAAAATTAGGAAGAAAATCACCTTACCATTAATTTTACAACTTCCGAGTAACACTCTTTCCTTGCGAATTTGATTTTGTGTTAGAGTTGCTTCTTATTTTCAATAAGCTCTGATGAGCATTGGACATAACACACATGTTCAACATTCAATTTAGCATGGCGTTCTAACCGTCACAGACGCAGATCTAGGAGAAACGTGACCGACTTTCGATACAACGAGCGCCGAAGACGCAAGCAGGTCATCTTTCCCGGAATATGTTTGGAATTCTCACTCTCTAAAGTCCCCTTTCCTGGGTTTATGAGCCATTCTGAAAAAAACTGACCAATTATCGTAAAACGGTAGAAACCGGTATGGATTCGCAACTTAACTGCGTCACAGCCAGTAATAGATTAACTCAAATGAGGCTATAGCTATCTCCTATAGACTGGGACAAGGAAGATGAGTCATACACTCATTTAAGCTGCACATCAGCCACTAGAAAACTCATCTACATCTGTCAGCCTTCCTGGGTTTGGTTTCAGGAACAAGAAACGATGGATTTTTTTTTTTCATTCTAATTCCGCACTGTGAAACATAACAAGCCGGCTGTTCTAGCTGATCACCTCCAATCAAGGAGTTTACACGGACATCTTAAACTGAAAGTGAGAATTCGAAAATGCAGAGACTGAGAGTACAACGCTCACTCAGTGTTTGTGAGACAAAGAATTGCAACGCGAAGATAAAGTGGCAACTATAAGACAATTCCTGAATGCTCGACTTTACCTCGTTTGCATAACCTGACGCAGAATTTCATGTCACAAGAAACTATGGGTGCTTTCACCTTGGTTGCGCGAAAACTGAGGAAAGAGAAGAAAAACAATCTTTTAATCTTGCATTTTACTTACCTTGGTTTACCGTTGTGTTCATTCTTGTCCGCTTCACAAAGCAACACCTTAATCGCGATTCTGCGGGCGACAAAGTGCCCGGTCCAAAAGAAAAGATTACTCATAAACTGTATAATTTGAACAGATGCCTGCTCTAAGACAAGATTCAACGGAAGATGAAAGCAGATGGCAAACTTGTAAATTGTTTGATAAATTTGTTCGAAGCCAATCAAAGGTGGATCATCACTCCCACTCGCACGTTTCACGAGCTTAAATTATTCGATTCTGAAACAGCATGAGCTAAATAGATGACACATGAGGTAAAAAAAGAAAAAACTCAGCAATAAAATGAAAAAGCTCACGCATTGTAGACTTCAGGAAGCCCATCTCATTTCAAGGGTCAGTTTAAACGTAAAGGAACACTTTGTGTTATTTTAAAAAGAGCAGGAAAAAAAAAGAGAAATAAGGACGACTAAAGTTCCCTTATTGATGAACGAACAGATTTATTTTTGTCAGTTTTGTGGCGCAGCTTATAATGTGTCAGATTTCGAACTCTTTATGCGCCGAACCTAATGCATAAATTATGAACTATTTGACAAGTAAACGTTTTTTTTATTGTAAACTGTATACTTTAATACAGTTTCCGTCAGGTTAATTGATTGATTTCGGCGCTTGAATCAACAGGCGCACTCTTGTTTGTTTGGGTCGGCCAAACAAGAGCCCCCGCGTCCAAACCACTTTTCTTACAAGTAAAATCGATACCAAACCATATCATGATTAAAACGTTTGTTATTGTCAGTCTATTTACAGTACAATCGGATCTTCGAATGTCGGTCAACTTTTCATAATTATCACTTCTTTATATCGGACAGAATTTTGTCTCAATCGTCTGCTGATCCATATACTCTTGTTAAAATCTCCCGACAACGGTCATCTGTGTGCTTCCGCGCAAAGTGGCCTCCGTAGAATGTTTTAAATATAGAAAGCTCAAAATTAATACCACTGCAATAGTGTCAAACTGAACCTGCAGAATAATCCAAAAAAAAACATGGTTATGCTAAAAATCATGGTCATATAGATGGCGGGACGACAAAATGAAAGCGGCGAGCCCGCTGAAAACGAGCGGCAAATAGTATAAGACAGCACTTTATGATGCAGAAAGCAATAGACCACATTCGTATTCTCGGTATTGGACTGGAACTAGCTTGCAAGCGAGGCTAATGCGGAAGAGTTTTTTCAAACGCAAATGACATTTTAATACGAATATGGTCTATGAGCTCTCTTTCCAGTACTTGGGTGGGTGTGGAATTATTGGCGAACTGAAACCAGCAAATGAAAATAAGAGGCAGTTTGCTCGAGTGGTCAGCGCGTCGGACTCGCAATCCAGCGGTCTCTGGTTTGCCTCTACTGCAGTTGGGATTCTTAACAATGCTATGCTCAGTTTGGGTCATTTGTTCAGTGAACACTGCCGAGAGTAAATAAAGGTTACGGAAACTTTAACTTCAACTTTGAGTTGAAGAGGAGAAGAGAAATTTCGTATCTACTCGTGCCCATGTGTCATTGTCTATGTCTTCAATCACGACCCGGCAAAACGATGGAAGTTCTGGGGGGAGGATAAGTCGGGTGAGCCCTCTAAATCTTGTGAGAATCAAGCACGTTAATAAGGAAATTATGACTGTTACGGTGCCTGTATATCTGATTGCAACATGCTAGCATAGATTTTTGCGAGTTTATTTCTCCGTTTTCGCCTTAGTTTTAGCTGCGATTGAAGAGGTTTATCTAACACGCAAGAACCCGGCCACATCGAAGTTCGTCAAAAATACTCTGGTGCGTCTCGTATTTTTCAACTCTCTTCTCGCTGTTTGATAATGCGGTCAAACACGGCCTTTCGTATTTGATATTATCATAATTGACATATTACGTGGACCGTTACTGAACGACAGGTTTTATTGACTAGCGCCTATACTTTCGTCTCGTTTTACACACAACAGAGGTATAAAAATTGCTTTCTTTGTTATACTTAGCCCTATTGAGAGCTTTGTATACTTAAGAACAGCAAAAATCAATCACTGCAAATGCTTCACTGCAAAAATAAGTGAGACATTTTTCTAACATCTTTAAAATGTCCTGTTTAATGCAACTGAGAGAACATCCAAGTCTATCATGTGTCTTGATTTAGCCGCTTTTATTTCCTTCTCATAGTTACTGTACAAATGCCTTGGGAAATTTGACCAATTAGATAATAAGTTGAAGTATAGCTCGGAGTATTTTTCACAGTATTGACCATTCGACGTTTATCTTAATTTTTTTTTTTGAAATGTGACTTTTCGTTTCACTTTCATTTTACCCCTCATATCGCTATACAACACAAATCACCTAAGAGTAAACTGTTAACATGGGTGGCTTTTTTTCTATAAGACTGATTCGTATGACAATTACGAAGTCATCCATCTTGAATAGAAATTGCCTCACTTGGCGTTTGCCTGCACTATGTGGTACGAGTGTCGATACAGAGCAGGTTGTTCGTAGAAAGATCATAGCCGTTAACAGTAACAAACAGTACTAAGTTTTTCACCTGTACGGACGAAACTTTGGCTATTATGTATATGTACATTTTGAGAATCTAGAAACCTCCTTAAAGAGCCAAATGTAGTATTAAACGATTTCTAAGCCAGAGTAATTACATAAGGCACAGAATGTACCAGAATGTTCTTCTAGGTCTCGGCTGAAAAACTTCCTTCCTAAACTGGTCTATGGAAAGTTCTGAAAGTTTAACTTAGACGCTCTTACAAAACATTATTCTTGAGTAAACACTCTTTTTCTTATAAGAACGTCTAATTTTGGATCTTGCTTTAGCCCCTTACCTACTCACAGCTACTGTACAAATTATAATTTACAGAGTGTAATTGGATGATAAGTTTAACTACACATAGATTCGGCAAGTCATTTACCCAGTGTTTGCCCTATGACTTAAGTCTTAAGCTTCGTTGATTTCAATTTTTATCTCACCGACATCTGAATCTGACGGATTCCTTAAGTATAGTTCTAACCATTGTTACTTCTTTAAGTTCGAAGTTACCATCGTACTTCGAGTGAATATGATACGAAAAAATAGGAAAAAGTACATCAGCGAAGTGTTTAGTTAAAAATATGAAAAAGATTCTGAATACTATTTAACATTTTACAAATCCTTACACTTTTAACCTTAAACCTAACCCTAAGTAAAATTCCTTTCGAACTAATCAAGCCGGATTGAAATGAGAGCAGAGTTTTGAATTTCTCATGGAATCTCTAATCATAACTGTCTCCAGTACACTAATTTTGTGACAAGCGTTAGAATATGCTTTACCACCATCTCCTTATTACAGCTACTTTCTGGATCTAACTAACAACGATATCGGTCGGTCAATAAGTCAGTCAGTCGGTGGCAGTAGTGAGGGGCGCCAGATTAGCGCCCCTTTGAGGGAGACCAATATCCAGAAAACAATGACGTCACAAAGCGTGATAAGTTAGTGCGTGCGGTCTTTGTTAATTTATTACGGAATGATGATGATAATAATAATAATGATAATAATAATAATAATAATAATAATA